ATTTCCTAGGCCTGGGATGCCTCCCTGTACCACAACAGACAGGATGTCCCACGGAATGTCTGGCTAAATCCAGACAGGGGGAAGGGCAAAAAGGCTGATGGAGAGATCTCAAAAAAATGGCATCTAAATCTGTGATGAAATAAAACTCTGGCAAAATGCTCCCACAGAGGATTACCAACAGGGGACTCAGGCAGGGCCCTGTCCCAGGGCAATACCTGAGGGAGTCCGAGAAGGTCTCTATGCCATACTTGGAGATTCTGTAGCCGCCACCTACATGGGACATCTGCCTGCGATGCTGGAAACGTTGACTACGCGGCCCCTTGCTCAGAGTCACGACGATCATCCCCAGCAGGTTCATGTCCAGTATGGTCACAAAGCCTTGTTTAGTCAGCCACTGCTTGGGGCCGGGGCGCCTGGACATGCCAGCATTATTCACCAGGCCCCAGAGTCCTGGGGACAGTGGGAAGATGAGAGAGAAACACTGAGTTGTGCCTGTGCAGTGTGGACACAGCTAGGGTTCAAGTTCACTTTCCAGTTCGAGCATCACTGAAGCTGCCCAGTGGGTGAAGGAGCCTGTGGAGGACAGAGGTACTGCCCAGATTCCTCAAGTCTGTTTGTGCTTTCCTCTGTGTTAAAGGGACGACCCCTGTCCTGTCCCCGGGGACATGCACAGAGTGTTCCCAGGTGCAAGTCCTCCTATTGGTGAGACCTTCCTCACCCATCAGGTCTCCCTGGGTAGGGGCGTACATGAGGGGGGTGTGCTCCATGCCAAGCCAGGTTCATGTTCCCAGCTCTTCAGCTTGTCCAGACTTAAGACCAACCCCATGTTCAGAAGACAAGACAGGGGGATTGTGTAAAAAAGTAGATCTTATAAGGGATTGTTTTACTTTCCTTCTTCTTTAATACCAATGCCTTCTCTGTCTTGTTATGGGGGATGAAGAGGACATGCATTTCCTTGATCTAAGAATAAATGTAGAACATGATCATTGCCCCAATACCTAAAAGTATAATGATAGAAGCAAAGTTCATCCTCAAATCATCATCTACACATAAATATGCTTTATACTTTCCTGTAATTGGGGTTACATTTTGATCAAGGTTTGTATCACATTGTATTCTCTCAAAAATGAACATCTTCTCAACATAGTGAACAAGTTTGTAAGACATAGTGTTTAATGATTTAGAATATTCTTTCCTTGATGCAGCCTTACTTATGTAAATCAGAGCCAGGGTCCCGATATTGGAATTTTTTTCTACTTTTTATTCTCATTGTTGTCATTCTGGAAAACTTGGATTTACCTGCATCTCTGTAATTATGTGTACTGACTATATTATTTGAAAGAAATAGAAATTCTTAGAATTCTTAGAAAGAAATGCTCTCTCCTCTTCTCACTGTCCCCAGGACTCTGGGGCCTGGTTAATAACACTGGCATCTCGGTGCCCTGACCCCCAATGAGTGGCTGACCAAACAAGACTTTGTTACCATACTGGACGTCAACCTGCTGGGGGTGATCGAGGTGACTCTGGGCCTGGTGTCCTTAGTGAGGAAGGCGAGGGGCCGCATGGTCAACGTCTCCAGCATTGGGGGTAGAGTGTCTATTACAAGTGGCGGCTACAGCATCTCCAAGTACGGCATAGAGGCCTTCTCGGACTCCCTCAGGTATTGCCCTGGGATAGGGCCCTGCCTGGGTCCTCCTGTTCCTGGTCCTCTGTGGGAGCACTTTGCCAGAGTTTCATGTCCTCAGGGCTTTAGAGGCTCCTTGTTCCAGATCTCTCCCTCAGGTTTTTGGCCTTCCCCCTTTATGGATTTATCCGCCATTACGTGGGATTTCCTCTCTATGCTTTGGTAGGGGGGGACCGCAGGGCTAGGAATATGTCACATCCTCTGAGCCTTCTGAGGAGGCCCCAGACAGGACATGTTTGAAGCAGATGGGAAGTGGGATAATTGGCTGCTGGGCCCATGTCCGCAGCCACCGAGATGCTCGGGTGCAGGGAGCCCTTGAGGGGCGGGGGCGGCCTCTGACTCGGCACAGCACACAGCAGCGGGCACTAGTGTGAGAGCAGCAGCAGCGCAGCCTAGGACAGCAGGGGTTGCTCCCTGACCCAGACACTAGGACAGCTGAGAGGAAGAGAGACAGGAGAGAGAAAGCCGTTGTTGCCAACCGTTCTAGGTGTTGTGACTCAGTCAGCCTTGCTGGCCGTGATAACCCCCAGATTTGGGGAGGGTCCTGGCTGTGAGGGACATGAGGGGAGACAGCCCAGCAGTGGTGCCTGGCATGAGAATTTACACTTCACAACTAGCAAGGTGGGTGTGTAAAGGATTAAGAACATTATTTAGTTATTATACCTATGAATGGCTTCATCCAAATTCTTATGCCTTTTGGCTCACATTAAATACCCAGGCTTTCTAACTTATACCACCCAGGTAGTTTGTTAGGCTGGTATGGTTTAC